GGATAAAATGAAAAAAATAACAACCCGCTAGGTCGAAAACCCGAAAGGGTGACTTAGGCAAAAATGGGTATCCCGTTGGGTCGAAAACCTGAAAGGGAGATCCAAGCAAAAATTAGGGATTTTAAGCGAGAGGCTGCAGTCTGAATGCTCTTCACAAATGACACGCGCACATCTATAGCACCTTGGCAGCGAATTGACCGATCCAACTACTACTCTTCGGAGGCAAGGCATTGAGACAACTTAGGATATGGGAACTGTAGCAATACCGGTTTTAATGGAAATTCGAGCATCTCTCATTGCCATTTACGCCTGTTGTACTTTTTTCGTTTCTATTTTGCAGCTACCTCATATAGGAGTTGCTTCCTTGTACGAATGCCTATTCACAGGCCAATCAATAAAATCTATTTTCATCAAAGTTGCCTCTTATTATCATAAAATGTTTTGTATGCAGAATATGTTTTATTTGATAATTAAACATGGCATTAGAAACATGGGGAATAAAAATTCTCAAGCCAAGATAAAACTTGACGTCACGTCAATGTATAACCATGTGGGGATGTCATATGCACTCCGAATGTTGTTTTTCCTTGCAGGTAGCAATTTACGACAGTCACCCTAACCCCGCCAGCACGTGAAATTGCCTCCATCTACTACAGGCAACTTCGGGTCTGATTCCCCAAGTGAATTCAGAAAGTCTAGAATCTTCTTTTAACTCAGCACACGCAAGGGCATCCTCAGTGGAGTTAATCAAGAGCATCCCCAGTAAAGCTAAACCGGGGCATTCGCAGAGCTAAACCGGGGCATTCGCAAAGCTAAACCGGGGCATTCGCAGAGTTCAACCGGGGCACTCGTAGGTGTCCACGCTCATATCTTATCCCCAAGTGATTCAAGAAACAATTCCCCAGTGTGCGTAAACTTGGAACATGTATTCGAAGGGATCCACATGGTGTTCAGTATCCATTCTTCAGCATATTCACTTATATCACCCCCTCAACAGTTCAGGATGTTTGGAAGTCCGGCCAGGTTATCTCTTCCCAACGGTACGATTCAGAATCCAGCAGTGTACCTAAAGACTCGCTTCGTCAGCAATTTAGTCTTCAGCGGAGTCATCAACAATCTTCGGTATCATGGGCTCCCCAGTGCAAATTTTTGTCAGTATCCCCAACAATCTTTGGTACCGCAGACTTCCAGCGTCGATATATACTAACATCCCCAGTGATGAGAAATGGTTCTCAGCAAACCTTCTCTTCCCCCCATGAAGTTTATTTCCTCGCATTGCATATAGTTATCATTACATAACATTGCATCCTCAAAAGCGCGTAGCTGATCCATCAGAGTGGATCTTTGCGTCAAAAGAAATTCAAACATGCATACAAAGCATAAGCCAGATCAGGTACCTTACACAAAAGACCTGAATTATTCAAGGACAACAATACGTCCCTACAGGAGGGTATCATGCCCAAAATCCCCAATCAGTGACCTTCACCTTTTCAATGCCAAACAAAATCAATACACTTTGTCATTCTAAACCCAGTTCTTGTCTGGTAGTCAGTTCCCTAAACACTCGTCTGTGTCGGTTCCCTAAACACTCGTCTGTGTCGGTTCCCTAAACACTCGTCAGTATCCTTTCCTAAGCACTCATATGTGTCAAGTTTCCTAAGCACCCACCCGGGTCAGCTATTCAAACACTCGTCCGTGTTTAAACTTTTTGATACTCGTCCGTATCTTCTTTCAATACTCGTCCGTATTGATTCAAACACTCGTCCGTGTTTAAACTTTCTTGATGCTCGTCCGTGTCGCTTATCTAAAACAATCATCATGTCATAACCCATGTTCCCTTCTTCGAACCTGAGATCGCCTCTTGGCTAGGTTCTTCCTTCAAATCATCGTCGAACCTGAGATCGCCTCTTGGCTAGGTTCTTCCCTCAAACCTTTGTCGAACCTGAGATCGCCTCTTGGCTAGGTTCTTCCTTCAAATCTCCGTCGAACCTGAGATTGCCTCTTGGCTAGGTTCTTACCTCAAACCTTTGTCGAACCTGAGATTGCCTCTTGGCTAGGTTCTTCCTTCAAATCTTTGTCGAACCTGAGATCGCCTCTTGGCTAGGTTCTTCCTTCAAATCTTTGTCGAACCTGAGATTGCCTCTTGGCTAGGTCCTTCCTTCAAATCTTTGTCGAACCTGAGATTGCCTCTTGGCTAGGTTCTTCATTCAAATCACCGTCGAACCTGAGATCGCCTCTTGGCTAGGTTCTTCCTTCAAATCATCGTCGAACCTGAGATCGCCTCTTGGCTAGGTTCTTCCTTCAAATCACCGTCGAACCTGAGATCGCCTCTTGGCTAGGTTCTTCCTTCAAATCTTTGTCGAACCTGAGATCGCCTCTTGGCTAGGTTCTTCCTTCAAATCACCGTCGAACCTGAGATCGCCTCTTGGCTAGGTTCTTCCTTCAAATCTTTGTCGAACCTGAGATCGCCTCTTGGCTAGGTCCTTCCTTCAAATCTTTATCGAACCTGAGATCGCCTCTTGGCTACGTTCTTCCTTCAAATCATCTTCGAACCTGAGATCGCCTCTTGGCTAGGTTCTTCCTTCAAATCACCGTCGAACCTGAGATCGCCTCTTGGCTAGGTTCTTCCTTCAAATCATCGTCGAACCTGAGATCGCCTTTTGGCTAGGTTCTTCCTTCAGATCACCGTCGAACCTGAGATCGCCTCTTAGCTAGGTTCTTCCTTCAAATCACCGTCGAACCTGAGATCGCCTCTTGGCTAGGTTCTTCCTTCAAATCTTTGTCGAACCTGAGATCGCCTCTTGGCTAGGTCCTTCCTTCAAATCTTTGTCGAACCTGAGATCGCCTCTTGGCTAGGTTCTTCCTTCAAATCACCGTCGAACCTGAGATCGCCTCTTGGCTAGGTTCTTCCTTCAAATCTTTGTCGAACCTGAGATCGCCTCTTGGCTAGGTCCTTCCTTCAAATCTTTGTCGAACCTGAGATCGCCTCTTGGCTAGGTTCTTCCTTCAAATCATCGTCGAACCTGATATCGCCTCTTGGCTAGGTTCTTCCTTCAAATCACCGTCGAACCTGAGATCGCCTCTTGGCTAGGTTCTTCCCTCAAATCACTGTCGAACCTGAGATCGCCTCTTGGCTAGGTTCTTCCCTCAAATCACCGTCGAACCTGAGATTGCCTCTTGGCTAGGTTCTTCCCTCAAGTCATCGTCGAACCTGAGATCGCCTCTTGGCTAGGTTCCTTCCATATACTTTGTCTTAGAACCTGAGATCGCCCTTTGGCTAGGTTCTCTGTCAAATCACCCTTATGTGTCACCTCAAGATCGTAGGCCCGTAGATCTCGTCCGCTGTCTTTTCATACCAACCATTTGTCTTGTATTGACGTCGCTCCACGTTACAAGTTCAATCTATGTCCCTTCATTGAAAAAACAAATTTCTTTTCCCGACAGATCACAAAAATAAATAAATAAAACACTCTTTCTCCCTCAGGACAAATTTTTTGGCAGTGATATTTAATCATCTTCAACCTCGAACTTCCGAAAGGCATGTGCCAATCGTACTTTCAGGTTTAAGACGATTAAATAGGGGCAGCTGTAATACCCCAAATTTGTCCTACCCTTTTACTTCCTATCTGGCTTACGCACTTTTGCATTTTTCTCACATTTGGTCATCTAACACATCATGCATCATTAATCAATAAATTGGCATAAGATCATGGATTTCGAGGAATAAGGGTTGGTGTATGGCTTTAAGGCTCCCATCTTCGCACAAGCTTGTTTCGGTTGATTTCTCCATTAATAATCTGTTTGAAGCTAGGTTTTCATTTCATGGACCTTATCATCATCAAGCTACGATGCTATTCTTTTCTTCTCAATGTCAAGTTGCAAGGTTTTATGAGACGAAGCTAAAAATCAGGGTTTATACATTTTCATATTTGAGCTTGTCAGCATTCTACCTGAGGTTCATTCCATATCAAGGTATTCGCATGTCTCATCTTTCATATTCATCTGCAAAGAATTCCTCTGGGCATAGTCATTATCATCTATTGAGAAGGGGTCCAAGACGTCGTTATTCTAGTGCTCATATAGTCGGGACATGGTACAAGATGCTGATTGTGATCAAGGTGTCATTATTTCAAATGCTTATTGCTTGACACGCAAATTTGGTTCAGATCGGAAAATTGAATTGAATTAGGGATTCACTGAAGCTGTAGTTTGATTAGAATTCATTCATAATATTTGAAGTGGATTTGGAGAAAATCAAAGTTCTTAAATATTTGCGTGGCTTTTCTTGGAATTCAAACCACAAGTATGGAAAAAACATGCATCAAATTCATCCAACCATCAAAATATTGTCCAAATATCCTCTCTTGGATTCATTCAAGATTCATGTCTCTTTTGATTACCTTGCAAATATTTCGGATTCATACCATTTATTTGAATTCATACAAAGGCCATTTCATTATGTGGAAATAAAGTCAGCATACATTCCAATGTGTATTCAAATACATACAAGTTCAAATTCCATTACAATTATACATAACATCTATACATTTTTACCAAAACCTATCCTAATTTTCAATCATTCTTCATGTTTCAAACTTCAAGCTTCCAAAACTTCGTGTTATGCGTCTTTGTTCCAACTTCATATCATCTTGGTGTTTTCCTTTTGCCTTTGCTTCCCAATAGCCCTGATATGAACCAAACCTGCAAAAAAAATATTGGATAAACTGTCATAAACATGAACCGCATACGCTACACTTCCAATTGTCAAAACCAATTCCCTAACCATTCTCTAAAGGCAGCCCTGCACATAAATTTTATAGCAAAGTAACTTACTGCAACAGAAAACAACAAACTAACAGCTTCATAACTAACTTTTTCCTAACTTCTAACTATAACTAACTTTCCATTTCCCAATACCATTCATAACAAAACAACACTCACACTTTCTTCTCTACTCACACCGATTCACCACTCACCACTCAACTCAACTCGCCGTCATCATGAACCTCACCACCGCAACAATCTCACTGTTATTCACTTTCTTTCTCACGATTTCTACTTTCGCCGCCAACCACGGCGTTTTCAACGTGAAATACAAGTTCGCCGACGATCAACAACACTCTCTCTCCGTTCTCAAAGCTCACGATTACCGCCGTCAAATGTCTCTCATCACCGGCGTTGATCTTCCGTTAGGCGGAACCGGTCGGCCTGATTCCGTCGGGCTTTATTATGCGAAAATTGGAATTGGAACTCCTTCTAAGGATTATTATTTGCAAGTGGATACTGGTACTGATATGATGTGGGTGAATTGCATACAGTGTAAAGAATGTCCTACCAGAAGTAACCTTGGTATGGACCTTACGCTGTACAACATAAAGGACTCCTCCTCTGGTAAATTAGTTCCATGTGATCAAGAGGTCTGCAAAGAGATAAATGGGGGTCTTCTGACTGGGTGTACTCGTAATACTAATGATTCCTGTCCATATCTGGAGATATATGGTGATGGGAGCTCCACAGCAGGTTACTTTGTAAAGGATGTTGTACTGTTTGATCAAGTGTCTGGGGACCTTAAAACTGATTCGGCTAATGGAAGTGTTATATTTGGGTGTGGTGCTAGACAATCTGGAGATCTAAGTTATACAAACGAAGAAGCACTTGATGGAATTCTTGGATTTGGAAAAGCAAATTATTCAATGATTTCACAACTTTCATCTTCTGGCAAAGTGAAAAAGGAGTTTGCTCATTGCTTAAATGGAGTAAATAGAGGCGGTATATTTACGATTGGGCATGTTGTACAACCTAAAGTCAACACGACTCCATTATTACCCGACCAACCACATTATAGTGTCAACATGACGACGGTTCAAGTTGGACATACTTTCCTTAATCTCACGACAGACGCATCTGACCAAAACGACAAGAAAGGGACAATAATTGACAGCGACACAACCTTGGCCTATCTACCTGACGGGATCTATCAGCCACTAGTATATAAGATAATTTCTCAGCAACCCGACCTAAAAGTGCAAACTCTCCATGACGAGTATACATGCTTTTAGTATTCTGGAAGTGTTGATGATGGATTTCCAAATGTCACCTTTTATTTTGAAAGTGGACTCTCCTTGAAGGTTTATCCGCACGACTATTTATTTCTGTCTGAAGGTTTTTGGTGTATTGGTTGGAAAAATAGTGGGATGCAATCTCGAGATAGCAAGAATATGACTCTATTAGGAGATTTGGTGCTTTCAAATAAACTTGTCTTTTATGACCTTGAAAATCAGGTTATTGGATGGACGGAGTACAACTGTTCATCAAGTATTAAAGTAAGGGATGAAAGGACTGGAACAGTTCATTTAGTTGGTTCCCACCTTATTTCTTCATCGTACGCCCAAAATACCAACTTGGTCACAATTTTATTTCCAATTGTACTACTTCTCATGTTGTTTTATTGAGATGAAAGAAACTAACAGAATCACCAACTGTAACTTAAAATAGGCTAACTAACTACTAACCTCTAACAAACCAAGCCTAACAGAATCTAATCTCTAACTGTCATAATAGAAAAACTAACAGAAATATCTTAGCAACTGACTCTAACTGTCTTAACCAATTTTTGCCAGCTCACTGTAACTAACTCATGAGAGGTTCAATCCCTACCATTCATTTCTCTAGCTGACTCTCAAATTCGAGGGCCTATATTTGTTCACCTGTAACAAACTTAGCTGATATAACAGAGTCTGCATTTCACAATAGGAAAAAAGAAAAAAAAAATTTCACGATTCACAGTAAATCACGAGATACTCACCTTTGAATCTTTCTGAGATATTTTTTGAAGACTTAACTCTTCTCTCAATCATTGTTTCACCATCATCTTCATCTTTCTTGCTCATCACCACTTCAATTACACCTTCCCCGTCAATCTGTTGCAATCTTCACAACTCCGCTCTTCATCATCATCCGCGACATCACAACAACCTCGCTCATCAATAGCAATCGACTGAAACTCAGAACAAATTTTGAAATCGCAGAAATAGAGAAGAAGAGAAGGAAAAAAGATGAAGAAGACGCATACCTGAGCCTTTGTTCTCTGGCTTTCTTGTCGGAGTCATTGTTGAAGAGGCATCGGACGCTTCGGTAAACCCCTTTAACTCACTCTTGCGATTTCTTTTTTGTTGTTAAATCAAGAACGAATTTGAATCGCTAAGAGATGAGAGGAGAACAAGCATTGAGGTTGTGCGATGAAGGCTTGGCCATGGCAGAGAGGAAGGTGAGCGCCGCCGCACCGTGAGTATGAGGAGAAGAAGAGTTTCGCCGCACCGTCGTGGAGGAAGAAGAACAATTGCAATCCCTAAAATCCCTTTCCAATTTCATATACTTTTTTTCCATTTAATATGATTGTTTTATTATTTTATATTTTTTATTTAATAATAATAATAATATGCTGAAATAATATAATTGTTTTATTATTTTATATCTTCTATTTAATAATAATAATATGCTGAAATAATATAATTGTTATATTATTTTATATCTTTTATTTAATAATAATAATATGTTGAAATAATATAATTGTTTTATTATTTTATATCTTTTATTTAATAATAATATGCTGAAATAATATAATTGTTTTATTATTTTATATCTTTTATTTAATAATAATAATATGCTGAAATAATACAAAAAATATATGAGTTTTTGTTGTAAGAGGAATTAGTGATGGAATGGACCAAACCAATCGATTCCCGGGCCCAACATTTTTTTTGGTTGCTTTTTGGTTTATTTACTATAAAAAAAAACATTTTCTTTTTGGTTTATCTTGATGGGCCTAATGTCATTCTATTTTTTGCAGCACACATTGAATCCAGCTTGCACCTCCTAGGGTCTTATTTTCGATACTTATTTCGATTGCGTTTGCCATTAATTTTGGCGATTTATTTTCTTTGGCAATATTGGTAAATAAAAGAGATTTCTTTTCAATTCTCTCACTTTTTCTTTTCAATTTTAATCATTAGTTTTACTCATTTTTATGTCATGTGTTTCGCTTGCAATTTTTATGGATTGTATGCGATATTTTGATACTTGCTGCCTAATTTTACTTGTTCGTATATTATTTCATGATTCCTTAGGAGATTTTGGTTCAAATTTAATCTTCGATTTAATTGAACTAAAATTAGACATTAGGCTTTCAAATTCACACAATAACATTAGGTTTAGAAATAGGCTAATTCCCCTTTAACTTTTCTTTCCCTTTTGCATACGCATCTAAAACTAAAACTTCTTTTTCTTTTCGAAATTCAAAACACTTTAAAACTATTGATTCGAATCATGCTTTTGCTTAGTACGGGGAATGATGAGCGGGTCTCTTCTCGATCTTATTGTTCTTCATCTCAAGCTCAGGTGTGGTTCAATTCTCAAAAACTCCTTTCAACGCTAAGTAGAAAAATGGCTAATATCTCTCTCTTGAGGTCAATCAGTCATCATCTACAACAAAAATACAAAACAAGTTCAAATCTTTTGTGCACTCAAGCACTTTTCTAAAAACCCTTTTCAGATAAGGACACGATTAATTTACTTCTGTGCTAACGCATAAGTCTCCAAAGGTCGAGCTGCGGCAGAAGGCGGAATTAACTTCGTCCATAAAAAACACAAAACAAACAAAACATGTGAGCCAAACTACGGTAGCTCTGATTCCTCAAAAAGGATACGTAGGCATTGGGGTAGGGCCCAGGCGAGCATAATTTTATTTTCCCTACATTCTTTTCTCTTTTCTTTTGCATGCATTCCTCCAGTAGTATAGTAAATAGTAAGCATAGATTAAACACACCCATAAGATAGATAACAAGAGTGGATACCGTAGAGTACTACAGGCGTGTGGGGTGCTAATACCTTCCCCTCGCGTAACAGACTCCCTTACCCGATCTCTCGGTCGCAAGACCGTGACTTCTCCCTTCTCAGGTTTTCTCGATGTTTACCTTTCCCTACATGTGGGATAAAAGACGTTCGATGGCGACTTCATTGTTTGATGATTTTCAGCCGGTTGTTTCACCACCTAGGGGGTAAGTCTGTTTGCAAGATATACTCTAACAACAGGGATGTAAAGTTTGGCCTATGAAAGCCAATGTTCATTCCATTTTGTATCATGATTCTTTCTATCATGACTGTCAGATTATTATTTGTTCCATAATTATGGTGTCGAACTTGTTGTATCATTTCGTCAACATTTTGGTTTCTATTTACCACCATCACACCTTGATCACCATCTCTAGGAATCTGTGGGGGAAATCTGGTTATTTCGATCCTAGATTGTTCGATTTCCACTCTGGTTCCTCCTATCTAGTTATGGATTTTGGTTAATGGTTACATCTTCTTATAAGACTATACATTGATTCTCTCTCATAGGTGCTCTTTGGGGTTGTCGAATAGGTTGGGGAACCCCAAAAAATTCAGTCATGCGCACCATCTGTGCTGACATTTGTTGGTTCGTCTGGGTGGTATTTTGTATTAGAGGGTTCAACACTGTACTCAAAGTTTGGGCCAACATTTGTACCATGTGATGGTTGCTTTCATCCATCTGTTACCTCAAAATTGCTGTGGAAGCGTTTGTGAGGCTTGGTATTTCATGGGATGCTCCTCCTAAGAGTTAGTTTCTACCCAAGTCGCCATACCAATCCCAGATCCTTGTAATGGCAAAGACATACTTACCAAAGGTTCTGAAAATGTAGACACAACGTTCATAAGACTAGCCATTTCAGTAGTTGGCATGCCATAAGGCTGGTCTCGACCCATCCAGGCTGTCAAAAATCCTGGGGGAACGTATGGTCGAGATCCTGGATTCACCCTTGGTGGGGGTGTTCCTGAGGGACCTCTAGGACCTGCATGCGAAAGTATTGGTCCTGTTTGGGTTGCTGTTAATGTTGGTGCTGAACCAACGGTTGACGAGACAATTTCACTAACGGTTGGTATAACCGTTGTTCCTGTAGTAATTGGTGGAGGTATTTCTCTATTATTTGGTTGGTTAGCCATATTTCTTTCACTATTTCTCTTTCTAGTTGTACACTCGTTGGTGGTTAATTTACCACTTCTTAATAGCATGCAAGACTTCGTAAAAGAAAGGAAATAATGCAAAGCATTTATGTTAAGATGAACAAGAAAAATCGAAACAAAAACATAAAAAATATAAAAATTAGCAACATCCCACTGGGCGTGCCAATTTGTTCACCGTGTTTTTCGGTAAACAACTGCTGATCTTCCAAAAAGGGTAAATTTTTGGTTACTCGCAGGATCGATCAGTTTGATCCTGAGACATATGCTAATTTTTGATGTTGTTTGGGCATAAATGCTAATGTAAATGAAGAACGCACGTTCGACTGAGAAAGTTTGAGGTTTGGGACGCGTTTGAGTGCAGAAAATAAATAGAAAAAAGGGTTTGGGAAAAGTTCAAGTGCAGGAATCTAGGAAAAAATGCAAGTAAAGTGAAAACAAGATAAAAAGGCAAGAAATGTAAAGAGAAAAGTAAAAGACTTTGATTATAAAATGTGGTGTTTCAAACGTACATTTTCAGTATTCTTTCTCATGCAGCGGATACTTGAATAGTATTGAATAACTTGTACGATCAGTTGAACAATCGTAAATCTATCTAAACTTCCTATATTTATACTAAAACTAGGTAACCGTCGAGGAGTGCCTTGCTCTAGGATGAGGACAAGTGTCTTCTGCATGCGCTTTGACCTCTATCTTCATGCCATGTTGCTTTCCTCAACTGCTAAGCGAACAACTTTTCCCTCCTTTCTTCAGATTCAAAATCATTCGTTGCTGATACAAGGTTTCCTTCTAGTCGAAGGCCCTAGAACCCTTTCAGTCGAAGGATGTAAGATCCTTCTGGTCGAAGATTCATTTTAAATTAGAAATTTCTCTAAGTATTTTTCCAACCTGTCGAAGTATTTCCAACTTAGATTTGTTCAATCTATTTTTGGCCCATAAGGCCAATTTGTTGTAGGTGTCGAATTTAGGAGCTAAGAGGTGTATGATGAGCTTGTGTGTTGGATGCTTTGACTTGGAT